AAAAATCAGCATTAAGTCATCTTGTAACCAAGAGTTACATTAGCCAAACCAAATGATGTTTCTCTCACGTATCCATAAATATTCTCAGGCCAGACAAAAGAAAACCATCTAGGCTACAGCCAGACATTGCATTTGTCCTGGGTGAAATCCTATGACCCCAGCTGACTTCCTGCCCCTCGGACAGGGGGCTGGACTCGATGATCTTCTGAGGTCTCTTCCAGCCCTAATGTCTATGAAATCTATAAAATCTAAGGACCTAAATCACCATTCATAAATTAGTATTTAAAAAAAACCCTCCATCTTATTTTACACCAGGGATAGACAATTATTTGGCCTGAAGAGCCACTTAAGGAGTTTCAGTGAGCTGTTGTGGGCTGTGGGGAGGGGGGTAGATGCTGGCCCAACCTGATGTTGGGGGGGAGGGGCTGCTGATCCAGTTCAGCATGGCAGGTAGTGCTGGCCCAGGCCAGCATGTCAGGGAGTTTGCTGACATGGCCTGGTGGGGGGGCTGCCAAACTGGCCCAACATGGTGGGGGGACAATTAGTTCTATCTGATTCTGGGCTGTCCACCTCACACCCACTGCCAGGGGTGTCAGCACATGGGGTCTCAATAGAGACTGGCCCAGGACCTTCACAGGCAAGGCGTGCTCAGCTGGGAAGATGAGATAGGGCTGCAGGCAGGTGGGGAGCAGTATCTGGGAACAGAATGGGTGGAGGGGCAGGACCAGGATCACAGGGCAGTGACAATATGGGGCTGGGGCCCAGGGCAGAGTCATAATCCACTCCACGCATGTGCCTGTAACAGGAGCCAGTTCTGCAGGGAAGGATGTGTGGGAAGTAGGTTGTACCTTTGCCCCAGGTCCTGGCCCCACGCTGTCACTACCCTGTAATCCTGGCCCCAACCTAAGCCCAGTGCCTGCCTGCCCACCCATCTTGCTCCTGGACACCACTCCCTATATGCCTGTGTCCCCATCCCATCCCCCTGGCCGAGTATGCCCTGCCCCCAAGGATCCCAGGACAGTCTCCATGGAGATCCCACCTGCCCACCATTTCCAACCAGTGCCCCCAGTGGTGCACATTGGACAGACTGGTGGCAGAAGCTGGGTAGAGTGAGCCACCACCAAAGGGGCTGCTGGGAAGCCCAGTCCAGCTGCCACACTGCTCTTGCCCTGCCATGCACCCAGGGGCAGTGGGACCAACCACATGCATCACAGCCTAAGCTGCCCCTTGCACCTGGGCCAGGTGGGGACAAGGGACCAACTATAAAATCCCTTGGCGGGCCAGATCCAGCCTGTTGGATGTATTTTGCCCACCCTTTTTTTATACGGTCTTTCTGAGCACATGTATTCTTCAAATGTTCAACTAATGGCCAGATTGTAAACAACCATTCCAATAACAGAGGTTACTAACATAAACATGACAATTTAATCAGCATCAGGAGGCCACACAAACACGACCTCCCAGGCCCAGCTGTAAATTCGACCTATTTTTCATTAGATGGAAGCTTTTATCTATTTTACTGATGCTTTCAAGTCTATTGCCCTTGAGAGATATGGTAATCTATCCAACAATAATACAGACTTACTCGACTATTCACCAGTGGTACGCCAGCAAGTGAAAAATACAGAAACATGGTAAATATTATTGATGTTCACAAATACCAATGTAATATTACTCTGAATTAGGTTCTTCAAGAAATATGATGAATACATTCGAAATAAATATGGTATTTTGCATCCCAGCATAAAAATATGGTAAATTGCATCCCACTGACCAAAAGATAATTAATATATAAGCAACAAGAGTATAATCTAGAAATTTTCTCTGGTTTCCTTTCCAGGTTGTGAAAAGGATACGTTGATTGATATTCTAACACAGCGTTGCAATGCACAAAGACTTATGATTGCAGAGGCTTACAGAAACATGTATGGGAGGGTATGTATTTGAACTTT